GTACTGGTGCTGGTTCACAGTCTCGAATTTCTTAATAAATTTAGCTTTGAATTTGCGCAGGGGATTTGGAGCCTCCCATCTTCCCCAGATGGGTGCTGAGTCAGCTGACGGCGGCTGCAGACGCCTGGACCCCAGGTGCTTCCTCCCTTCTTGCTCTCAGCCGTGTGTCTGTTTCGGCCCTGGGACAGGAGCCACTGGGGCAGGTCCACTGTGCTGCATCCTGGGAGATTCCCGGAGATGGGGAAGGTCAGGGCTGGGTGCGCCCACTGTCCCAACATCCTCCTCCCCCTCCCCCACATGGCTGGTGGCACCACTTCGCTCTGAGCCGGTGACTGCGAAGGCCAGCCTCGGGCCCTCAGGGACCCGGCTGTGCACCCCAGTGTGGAGGCTGCAGAAGCTTGGGGGGTCCCCAACCCCACTGAAGAGTCCAAAGCTCAGTCTCTCCCAGCACTTCACTGGTCCCCTTCACTGATCCGTGAACTTAACACCCTAGGTGTTATCACAGCCCCTTGACCACCTTCCTTTAGAGTCTGGTCACTGGAAGGACTCATGAGTGGCTGGACCTTGGGAGGCACCAAGGGGCATGGTTACCTCGATTTACATCACTGAGCAGTTGCCCTGGCAGGGCAGGTGCGTTACTGATCCCTCTCTAGTGAGGACATATTTATTAGGGCTTCAATGTGTATCATCCTAAACCAGGGCAAGGCAGGTCAGCTGCGGAGTTGTCTACAGGTGTTTTGCAGACCCTCCCCCACCGGCCACAGCCCCGAGAACCGTAAGCTGCTAATGTCTCCCCGGCTCTCCCTCACAGCCTGGTTTAGGTGAGATCCAACCGTGGAGAATTCTAAACATTCCTCAAACACTTTTAACACAAGAACATGAAATCAACAAGGGAGTCATGCTGATGGACACAATAAAGGGGGGAAAGTGTCAGTTCTTAAATAGACATCAGTTTCCTGTTTCTCAAATCTTGATGTACAAACACCTGCATCACTTTACCTGGGTAGGGGTCAGGGGTCACAGGAAGGGTACTTGTAAAAATTCAGACACCTGGCCTCCCTCCGCCCCAGACCCACTGGACCTTCCAGCCTGTGGGGAATCACTGAATCTGCATTTTTACTATCTCTCTGCAAGTTGGTTTCCACACCACTATGTGGATGGAGTCCATTCTCACATGAGCTATTGTTTGGAACAGCAACTCTCAGTCAGAGTTCTTATTAAAACTCCAGATTCCCTGAGCACCAAGCTGCCCAGAGAGTCTGACTTAGTAGGTCTGGAAACTGCATGCTAACAAACACCTGGGTCCACCCCATCCTATGCCCCCACAAACTTCTGATGCAGGTGAGCCTGTGATTCTGCAGTGAAAAATACAAACAAAACCTAAAGGCCAAAATTCTTAGGTTTGGGGACTTTAGAATAGCCGTAAATAAACTTCACATTGTTTACCAACCAACTATGTGCTAGGGCCAGGGATGAGGAGATGAATTGGACCTTCTCTGAAGGGGCTCAGAGTTTGGGAAGGAAAACCAGCCAAGTGAAGGACAGCTGCCACACTCTTTAAATGGAGCGTTTAAATGTGCAGCCCCTTAACATTCTGGATAATGGTGCTGATTACACACCAGGAATCCACCAAAGACGTAGTAGAACAGCCCAAGTTGTGACAATACGAGTAGCCACCATGTATGGAGTTCCTGCTCTATGCTGGATAGTGAGGTGGAGCCATTTTTGCAACAGTAACTACCCAACAGACTCCCATCGTTAGTTTTCACACCCACTTGTGACATTCAGCAACTGACTCAGAGGTATGTACGGAACATAGTACAAGATCTCAAAGTGAATAAGGAGTGGAGGTGGACTGTGGACCCAGGGTTTACCTCCTAAAAACTGTTTTCCCTCTAGAAGCTGCTCCTTATAGTTATACATTCTTTCAGAGTTTATAATGTATGTTACATTATAAGGTTCTATGTCCAAAAATTCTAAAACAGCAGCATAAATTGTTGCTTGTATGAAGCCCAGTAATAATTTTTAGACTAACTTCATGGTGTCACCCTGGCATTAACACTACCATGGTACTCTGCTGTATAATAAATAATCTTAGACATTTATCTACTGCTGATGCAAACGTTAAGCTCTAATCACTTCTTGTATATTTCAATTTTTGAAATTCAAGTGTAAAATACATACTAGACTGCAAAAAAATGATAATGCTTTATTGATACTCATTGACACAGTAAGAAAATTATTTTTTATTTCTATTTTGCTGATGAGCAACTGAGGTTCTTAGAGGTTAAGGAATACACCCATGAAACACAAAAGAGCAAACGTGACATGAAGGCCCTCTAAAAATGGATGGCATTTCCATGATCCCATATATAATAAATCAGATAAGTTATGCTTTGTTGAAAACAAAAATATGACCCCACGATTTTCATAGTTAACAAAGACAATGGTTTCTTCCTGCTCGTGGATGTCAGTTGCATGTGCCTTTCAGAGGAACTCCTCATCTTCTTCCCTCCAGGGTGGCTTTGTCTGAGAAGTGAGTGCCGCCCTTGGTGAAACGAGAAAAGCAAAGGCTCGTGCCATGGCTCTCAGGCTTACACTTTAAATGGACAAAGCAAGTCACGTGGCCAGGTTGCCATTCAGGAGCTACTGAGAAGTGATACTTCTTTTCTGAGACAATGAATGTGGCATACTTAACACCTCTGCAACTGAAATTCTCCCTGAGCCCTGGGGTCGTGCCCTTCTCTACGGACAGCAGGAAGGCCCGCTCTCAAGGTTGCCAGCACCCAGATGCAGGGTACCGGGGGTGTATGGGACACGAGACATGGGAAAACAGACACGCATCTCTGGAGCCTCAACAGTGTGAATCACAGGAGGGTGTGGTCAGGTCTGGGGCTCGCCCTGGGCCTGAGACAGAGACGCTCACAGGATCTTTGATAATTTTATGTTTGTGGGTATATTTGTGGGGCCCAGACTAAGGGAAGTCCTGTGGATCCAGGTAGCAATTATTGGCACCTTTAAGCTTCCAAACTGTTTGGGAAATCAGTTTCAAAGTGACCATCACTAGTGGTAAAGCACCAAAGTTTTTAAATAATTGGCATATAAAAATAAATGTCAATAAATATAAAGCCATTCTCCAAACACTAGCAATCTGCAGCTTTCTGGAACCAGAGAGAAGGGGGCGGGGGCAATAGCTACTTCCTCAAGAGCTGTGTTTGACCGGGAGTACACCCAGGAGCCCGCATCACACCTGTGAATTTCAGTTTCCTGTGTGCTGTGGTGGAGAGATAGGTTGAGAACCACTTATCTAAACCACCACCACATTTATTACATCAATATCCTTGTAAAAAATTCCCTGTGTGTTCCCGCTAGCCAAGCAGTACATCCCAAAAACAAGGGCCCTCTTTCCCCTCTTCCTTCTGTGGCTGTCATTTCTTAGTCACGTGCTATTAGAAGCAGCTCATCACCTGGCAAAGGCGGAGAACTATTCTCCCTATTAAGGGCCAGTGATGCACAGAGAGGAAAAAAAATCTGATGAGGAACCCATAACAATAGAGAAATTACTGAGATGTGGAGAACCAAAAAGGCATTCCATCTATGAACATTCTAGAATATAAGCAGAGCTCAGTGAGCGAGCAGGAATGTTCCCTTCATCCCAGTCAGATCTGCAGACACAAAGTATTTGTGAATAAGTATCACAAAGCTCACAGACTGCCCAGAAACTGAAGCTAAGAGGGCAAAAGAAACAAGGTTGCGGGAGCCTCTGATGATTAGCTTAGTCCCTCCCACAGCTTGATCCCGGGCGAGACGGGGGCGGGCAGCGAGTACCTCCCAGCAATAGCTGTGGTCAGGAGTTCTGGGGAGCGAAGGGTGACAGGCTCCCACACAGAGCCCCAGAGCTGAGGCTGAAAAACGGAGAGCAGGAATTAGTGGTTCCATGGCCAGAACCAATTTTACTTCTCTTGATTTCCACTCAAGTGTTTCAGAGTTACACAGTAACTTGAGAACACAGAAAAAAAGCCCAAGTATATTTCAGACACTGCTTTCCTAAGTGACAACATAAAACTGTGACTAATCGGAGTTCACATTTATGACGGTAGTTGCTCCCAAGCAAGTGAGGAAACAAAGCTTTTATTTTCTCTAAAAATGCAGGCAAGCCTCTGACAGCCTCCCCAGAACAAAAACTTGATATACATACCATCCTCTTTCCCTTTGATGCCGGTAGGTATTAAATCTCAAAAACATACAAAGCAGGGAAATGTCAGCGTTTCTGGCTGTTATAGCAACAGCCAAGCTTCAGAGAGCTTTGCCCAGGAACTCACAGCAGATAAGTGATTCAAATAATTTCCCCATGACATGGCCTCCTGTGTTATTTTTACATTTATTTATAGGCTGGCTGACTGCTTTCATGAAAGATTTGAGTCAGATAAAAAACCCTGCCTTTCTTTACGTACCTATTAGCTCCTATGTTAAATACTCTCCAAAGGCTCTGCCAATGAAGGCACATCTGTTAAGTGAAAATATATGTATAATTAAAAAATAATTTTAATTGCTGGGAAAACAAAGAACTCTTTGATTCTCTCTAGAGAGAATAACTTTCCATAGGATGTGGGGAGAATACACACATTGCTCCTGTGTGTACAAGAACTTTTGCAATGATCTGTATATGAAAAAGTAATTTGATTTTGTGATGAGCTCCCATGAGGCTGTGCAGGCAGGAGAACTCAACTCAGTCACTGGGGTTTCCCATGCAGCCAAAACCGACATGAGCTCATGGTGTAGTTCCAGGGCCCTATGTAGTCCCAAGGTGCCTTTAGGGTAGAAGGGGCCTTCCGGTCACTGGTCATCGACCCACACATTCTCTGCCATCTCCAAATTACTGGTAGGTAATTTTCTTTTCCAGTCTCCCTCCCCTCACAAGGAAAGCTTTTTCTATTTGGGGAGAATAATTATTGTTGACAATCAAACAAATGTAACTCTAAACAAATAAGGTTTCTTACTTTCTGTATAACTCGCATGTAGTTCTGCCGCTTTTTTAAAAGAATTGTTTCTGGCGCGGCAGAAAGGCAGTGAGGCATCTGGGTCGGAGTGTGGACTCCGGAGCCAGTGCGCCGGGCTTTGAGGTGTGACCTTGGGGAATTTATTTAACCTGACAGCAAATACTCAGAACATTATCTACCACTTTGTAGGTACTGTAATGGCTGCTATTTTTATTTCTAGAATACTGAAACTAAAATGTTAAAATGTGTGTTACACATGTACTCTCCGTACATTCCATAGAGGACTAGTGTGAGTCCCATGCCGAAGGGTCCCTGATGAGTAAGTGGGGTTGTTGAGTTCAAGAGTCAGGGTGGTTGTCAGGGAAGTCCTTTGAAAGGGGCAAGCACAGGGTGGTGAGAGGTTGGGGTCCTTCAACCGCCCCGGGAGGGAGGTGCGAGGGACGGACTTCCTAGAGGAATGAGACTGAGTTTATTGGGCAAAGAGTAGAGAAAAGCTCTTCCAAGAAGAGTTACAGCATGTAAACCCTGGATCTAAAAGAAGGAATATGGCCTTATTTGGAGAAACGCTGAGCATGACTAGCAGATTGAGGCTTAAGAGAAAAACAAGGTTGAAGACAGAAACAAGGGTCCAATCATGCAAGCCCTCATTGTGCACTGAAGGTGCTTGAACTCCATCCTGACGCCAGAGGGCGCTGTTGAGGAATAGCATGAGCACGCAGTGTGGGCCCCAGAGGAGTCCCAGCCGGAGATAGAGGGACTGACTGATGCATGAAGTCGGAGGCAGGGCTACTTCGCAAGAGGCCACCACAGCCACTGGGGTGGGGGGAAATGAAGAGCTAAATTAAAGAAGGGGCCATGGGGCTAAAGAAAAGAGAGCAACTCTGAGAAACGTTAAGGTCACAAAGACAATAGGTCTCCTTTTAAGGAAGAAGACTAGGAGCCTGAAAGAGCATAGCTGTGGCCTTCTGAATCATCTGTAGTTTCTATGGAGGGATGTTTAAGCTTAACACAAAACTGGATGCAGATTTGTTGGTCTACTCACTCAGTCATTTTGAATGTGATGGTCACACAGCACACATGTTCCCTCAAGGGTGTCTACCACCACCACTGACCAGTACACTGAAGTCGTCATTGTTCACACATGCACATTCCAGTCCACTCTCCTTGGCTGCCAGGTTACATGGATGTGGCACAAACCATTCTCCTTATATTAGCAATGGCTGGGCTTTTCCCAGACAGACCCCAGAGACTCCTCTGCCTGATGGGGAAGCAGGTGGGTGTGGAACTAAACGGTGATATAAATTCCCAAATCCCTGCGAGTGCTGGGGAGAAACCAGACTTGCTTTAAAGCACACCCATCCTCTTGGGGTGTAGGTAGGATGTCCAGGCCACAGAGAATGAGTCCCAGAGCTGAATCCCCCCTCCACCAAAGGGTCCCCCAAGTTTTGTCCTAGACTGAACTGGCGATGAGGAGAAAGGAGAGGAAGGACAAGCTGGTGACCTTCAGGATCGCATTGGTTCTCAGGCTTGCGGCACAATACGATCATTTGGGGAGCCTTGAAACCCCGGCCTGCGGGGAGAGGGTCAAAACCTGTCAGTGTTTAAGCTTCCCAGGCGATTCCAATGTACAGCCAAACTTAGCACTTCAATGGGACTGCACAGCCTCGGACCACTCCTGGGAGGGCACCTGCCAGACTCAGTTCTCCAGATCCCCCAGAGAGGCGGGTGGTCATCGCAGAGTGTGGGGGGTGCTCCCAGCTCTGTGCCGTTGGGCAGGGCCAGCAGCGGCCCTTTCATGCAGCTGCATAACCCCAATCCAGACGTCAGCCAGAAAGAAAGTGAGTTAGCCACTTCTTAGGAGATACCACTTAGGGCAAAACAGTTTTTCCTTCTGTCCCTCATTCATTTTCTGATTCATTCCAAAGAAAGCATTTGGATGGACAATAATTTCATTGTTGTTCTACGAAGCCCAGCAGCAGCCTGGACATGTATGGAAAGCCTGGTGGAAATGCAGAATCTCAGGTCCCACGCCAGACCTGCCCCAAACTACAGATCTTGCAGGAAGGCACAGAACGCATTAAAATATCGTTACTGTATTGGAACAGACACAGGGGAGGAAGAAAGGTTCACAAACTGACACCTGAGAGAGGCCAGGGACAGAAAAACAAGCGTTCCAGAGAGGGGGAAGTGATGGGAGCTGCATTCATTAAAATTGCTTTCTATTATATGGTTTGCTTGGGTTTTATAATTATCATCAGAGAGTGGCTCAATGGATGAGAATTTATTAAAACTTCAGGGAGAAAAACTAAGGAAGCAACCAAAATCTTAAAAGCAAATAATTAAGAATTTCTGCTGTTAGCCCAATAATTAACTTTGTGAATGTAGAGGACGCTGGTTACCATGTGACTTCCATTGTCTCTGTTTTCTCATGTTTAAAATTATACATTTAAGTAGAATCATAATAACGGTCTCCTCTTGCTCAAAACTGTACCATTTAAAGGTCCTCGAAATCAAATCAGAATAGTTTCAAGTCACACACGATTAAGGACTATTTCACCACTAGGTGGCAATGTTGACCCAAAAATGCTGGAAACCAATGCAACCATCTTCTTTTGCTGTATTTTGTGGCTTATTTAAAATTTTCATTGACAATTCTTCCCTTTCTTTCCCCCCATGGGAAAGTGGTGGCAAGGAAGTGGAAACAACTGTACTTGAGCAACCATACAAAAAAAAATTGTTTATCCAAAGTTAGAAGATCTGAAAGAGCTAGAGATTGCGTGGCTGGGCAGAGAAGACTGAGGATTAAAACAATTGTGGCTTTAGAAAACCGTGGCTAAAGGGACAATTGAAAGAGAAGGAAAAGATTCAGCAGGGAGTGTCAGAGACCTTCCAAAACAGCAGGTCAGGGGATGAGTAGTTCAGGGGATGGTCCCCGAGGAGGAAATTCAGGGAACCTGGACAAGTGAAGGATTCCTGATCCCGGTAATACCCCCACGGAGACTGTGTGCCCTGGGGTGTTCAGTTTTAATGAGTCACCCTTGCTTGGTACCTGGAGAGGGCCAGAGGGAATCATTAGAATGTCTCTGACTTGTCCTGTATCTAATTCCTCGCTACTGTCTTCCCTATCTGACTTTTCCTATGGATACCTGGCTTTGCTGTGCTCTGGGGCTCAGGTCGCAAAGCCACCCCTAGGAATTCATGTGGCTGAGCCCACTTTTTCACTTGGATGCTCCCTCCTGCCTGTCAGACCAACGTGACCCTTGTCCAGAGGATACTTGCATCCTCTTCAGATCTGACTGCTGCTGAGTCGGGTTTTGCCTTGGCACCCCACACACAGATGCTTTAAGCAAAAATCATCAGTTGTTAAAGCTGGAAGTAATTTAAAGGTGTCCTTACATCAGTGCCTTTTATTCTTCAATGAAAGGAAGAGAATAGTAGTAATAAGACCTAATATTGAAGATGTTAGGCAGAGGGGCCTTTCGTCATCTCCTGTAGCAAAAGTCCTGCCGTGGGCTCTCGAGGGTCGTTGACCCACTGGCTCAGCAACGCTGCCAGCGGCCCGGCCCTTCCCACTCGCTGTCCTCAGGGAGCTGGCTCAGATGCCTTTCCGGTGCCAACAAAGCTTTGTCTGTGGCAAGCACCGCATGCTCACACCACCAAGTCCAAGGCCTAGGCCATTTCCCCCTGTACATCTCTTACTGAAAGTGAACAAAACATTTACGGAAAACTACCAGCAGACCCGTCTTCGCAATTTGTTGGCCAGAACTGGGTGGCCTGCCAATCCTCCGTGAGTCACTGCGGAGGGAACAGAACCACCGTAATTGGCTTTGACAAATCAGAACCTGCCTCACAGAGAGGGAGGTGGGCCCCGAGAACCGCCCGAGGTCCTGCCCCAGACCGGAGAGAACCTGCGTCTGGGGCGCGTTGACTGGCACTAGCTCCTGCCTCGGCCACTGTGACCAGGCTCTAAGGTACAGACGTGCTCGAGGAGGGGAAGAAATCAGAAAACGGGACATGCGAGCAACTCAGAGTCCAGGACAGTTCCTTGAACATCAATCCCACTATGACTTTCACTGGTCAGCTGACAGGAAGCAGACAGTCCCTGCCACTTGTCCCCTCAGTTCCCAGCATCCGCACACTGAGCTCGGATCTGCGCATCAGGGCTCCCTCCTCAAGCTACTGTGAGCTGCAGTTTCTTACCATGCAGCAAATGAGGGGGCGTGGTCGCAGGCGGGCTCCTAACTTGTGGTCCATTGATGCACGCACTGGGATTAAGCAAGCCTGATTGCATGCTCACTTACAAATTCACATTCTATCTGTATGTCATTACAAAAGCCCTAACTCTTTAAATCTAAACCTAGACTGGGTAGCATGACTCCTAGAACTTCTTCTAAGCCAACGGTCCTCACTCTTGGATATGCAGCAGGAGCACCTGGAGGGCTGGCCTCCCTCGCACCCCAGAGTTTCTGATGTGGCAGGACCCAGATGGGATCCACAAATTTGCATCTGTAACCAGCTCCAGGAGATGCCAGGGCTGCCCACCCAGGGACCACCCTTTGAGGACCACAGCTCTAGACAAGCCTGAGCAACTGTTCATGGAGCCTGAGTGGTTACAGGCTTTGCTGCCACTGTTACTGTCGTTGCAACTTCCTAAGTCCCAAAGGCTGCCAGAGGGGCCTCACTCACACAGAGTTTATTTCATTTCTGTGTTTCAAAGGTGTATCCTAAACATCTATATCTGCACTGGTGGATCCTAAACTTTGGGGACTCTTCTGATGCACACACACACACTCTCTCTGTCACATGTGCACACACTCACACAGAAACACACACTCAGCAAACGAGCTGGCTTTGGATGCTCAAGTATGTGTTTATATATTAACTAAAGAAAATGTTTCCCAAATGCTGCGTCACACACCCTGCGAGGGTTTTCCAGAGGAAATGAACATGCACAGAGGCCCTCCCGCCGGCCTCGGCTGACATCAGAGAAGCCCGAAACGCTCACCCAGGCAACCCCAGTGCAAGCCTGCCATGAACGCTGTGAAGGGGGTACATGGGGAGGGGCTGTGGGAGGCCACA